AGAATCAGTAGCAATTGCCCACTGAATACGATTGCAATCCATGTGGACCACGTTAATTCTTTTTTGCGTCATCGTTATTTTGTATAAGGATGTGAAAGGGGGGCAAGTCACTCTTCCACTTGTCAAGGGCCGGCGCTGGCCCAAGCCAACTTTGCCAACCAGGCAAAGGCCTATGGCCTCCAAAGTCAAAGTAGAAAAAAATAAAAAAATAAAAAGATTTTACTACTAGTACATCAAGCTTTACATAATGAGATACATAATATCAAATATCATTTTATCATTTGTCAATTTAAAATACAATCAACTTTTTCATCCAATCTCTTTATGTAATATTTTTATGTATTGGGAGAGGGTAAACATTACATATATAAGGTGGTGGTAAAATACAATTTCAAAATTAAGAAATTAGTTTTATATTTCAAAAATCAAGTCTTAATTAAATATCACTTTTTAGCTCTTGTTTGAGCCCATTATTTTCACCAAAATGTATTATTGAAGAGAGACTTGACCACATTTCAATCACACATTTTTTAATAAAATAATATACATATATATAGGATTTAATATTATTAGTATAGTATACTTTTAAAAATAAATAAAAAATTAATATATTTAAATTTAATTATAAATTTTCATAATTTAATAAAAAAAATAGGTATTTTTCTCAAAAAATGAATGAAAAAAGAAAAAAAAGTTATAAGAATCCAATTTAATTTTTTTTTTATAGAAATAGAGATAAATAATAAGAGAGAGAAAGAAAAATAAATGGAATATAATAAATAAAAAAATAAGTTTTAATTATACATGTCCATAAAAGATTAAAGGAAAGAAAGATTGAAAAAAAAGTTTTTTTTTTTTTTTTAATGTCCATGCTTTATACATCAATCTGATAGATCCCAACTCACATAATAAAATAACAACGGCAGAATAGGGAAATGAATGGGATAGTTAGCAGCACGTGCAAGTAACAAAGGTAGCTGGAGAATTAGTTAGATAACCATTATAAATAGTTCGACTAAAAGTCTCTAGAAGTCATTAAAATTTGAATACCGTAAGACTTATAGAGACTTCTAAAAAGTTTTAATTGAATACACCGTAATTTTTAAAGACCTTTTAAAAGTCTTAATTGAATACACCATGACTTTTAAAAAGTCTCAAAAAATTTCAATTGAATACCCCTAAACTTTTTAAATCTCAAAAAGTCATTAAAAGTCTCAATTGAATACACCCTCCTAAATATAAAGAGTTTGATGGATTACTTCAAAATTTAACTCTCTAAATTTATATTTTTTCTCTAAATGATAGAATATGCTCTTTAAAAAAAAAATCTCTTAAAAATGTTCTAACAATCCACTTTATACAAGCCAACCCAACCTAACTCAACCCATCCCAGTACCAACATCTCACCATCATCAACCGGCTAGCACCATCGCAACCACAATAATTGCCGTCGCATATACCAACAATCACAATGACCATCACCTTTATTTCCACCACATCTCCACCACACCACAATCACCATCCCCAACAGAAAATTCCCAAACCAACTGTTGCCACAATCACACCACCATACCACGACCATCACCTATATTAACAATCACCACACGAACTCCTCAAATCCACCACCAACTCAAGGCAAAGAAATAGATATGGTGGCGCACAGCGAAGTACATGCAACGATGTGACAATGTTTACGGTGTGTGGCTTGTGGGAAGAGGTCGTGCGGCACCACTTATCTTACAGCAATGCTGATCTTCTTGTAGTGACGCTGATCTCATAGTGGTGCCAAAATAGAAAGGGTGGGCTGGAAAGGGAGAAGATAGAGAGAGATGAGATGGAAAAATGAATTAGGATTTGGGAATGACATTGTGTTGGGATAGATGGGTGAACCATGCTACACGTACAGATAGATTTTACAGAATTTTTTTAAAGGTGAACACCTGGCATAATTTCACTCATTTCACTCCAAACAAACAAAAAAAGGCACCTTATAGGTGCTGACAACTCAGCACCTGTATGGTGCTTGTGAACAATTCCCTGTACGCAGAGAATTATTCTAGATGGGTAGGGGGTATATATTAATTTAATTTATGATATTATTATTAATATTTAAAAATAAATTATCACCTGATTTTTGAGCAAAAAATCTTTAAACCTTATTTTTGAATTGAGAACTTAAAAACCACATGTGGATATAATTTCCACACAACAAAATACACATTAGAAGGGCCAATTAGATGGATCATTTTCTAAAAAAATCATTTAACTATCATTTTCTTTTATGAATTCTAAATTCGTTCCAGCTTATCTAAAATCATTTTTTATCAAGCTTAATATACACGGTTAATTATAAGCTGCCAAACGAGCCCAATATTGCTATGACAATATGGTCCAATTTTAAAATTTTATATAAGTAGTTTACTTTAATAGATTATAATTCGAACTTGTTTATTTAAAATTAACATTTTACCAAGTCCATAATGTTCTATTTAATATGAGTTACGAAATAAGTCCAACATTTATAGGATAATTTTCAATCTCCAATCACGCTTGATTTAAATACATTATTGATGTCGAAACTTATTTTCACTTTATTCCCTCAATATCCCGTGATTCTCACTTTAGTCCTTAAACTTTTTTGAATTCACTAAATTGTACCTTACTCGAGTTTAATTTCTAAAAATTATTATTTACACTTTGATAATATTTCTTCATCAACAGGATACTTTCTCTAAATATTATGCTACCCAAATATCTTGAATTTTCAGAGATTTTTTCTTTTGCTACTACATCTTCTAAATTCTACAAAGTCTTCGTTTAAAATATAAATATGTTATTTTTTTACACTTGTAAAAAAAAAATTATGCTTTAAGGCCTCATAAAAATTTTGTTGCCTAGGGCTGACCCTGGACTTGTCAGCTCAACTTGTTTGGAAGGTGAGTCATGAAGTGAGCTAAATTGATATTTTTTCTGCGAGCAGATGATTGGCTCGCTGCTTAATCCCGAGTTCAAAAAATTAAAATTGCATTAACGAAACTTAAAAATAAGAAATGAGGCTAGGTTAGCGACTGATAAGTCGGCTTAAAATGAGTTCGTAAGGTGAATTGAGTTGGTATGTGCAAAGTTCGAGTCGACTTATATAACTTAGAGTTGCCAAATCACTTATGATTGATATATATTTTGCTATATAACCGTTCCTATCTCCATCAAATTGAAAGTTTTAGGAAAGTAGATGGGATTTAAAAAGTTCTTAATCATCATTCCATTTAATTAATTTTTAATATAATTTTATTTTTAAGTAGGATTTAAAATTTGAAAATAAATAAAAATAAAAATGGACTGGTTTGATAAAAATATGGAGGACCATGTTTCCCGTCCCAATTTTGTTAACCATTTAGGCGGGGGTAATGCAAGACGGAGGGTCGGAGAATTTTACAATCCCCGGACTTATAATTCAAAAAGGAATTATTTATTTTAAACTTATTTATTCCCTGATAAGTAAACTTATTATGAATAAAGTTTTTAAGCCTTGTCAAACATCACTAATTCAATAGATATTTAAAGAAGGGAATAAAGTTTCGAACTATTGTGCTACTATTCTTAACGAGATGAATCTTTTAAAATGAAAATTCAAATGCGATATGCTTTTAAGGTTCAAAAGGCTCCAACGAATAATTCCATTTGTCTAAAAACCAAATAAGTAATTAGATTCAAAAATCGGTTCTCGAATAAAAATAAAATAAAATAAAATTCCTCATTGTGTAAATATAAAAAGCAAGAACAACAAAAAGGAATTTGGAGTCTTTTATTCTCAAGAGTATCAACTTGCTGTTATCACAGAAAGAATTATAAATTTACTGAATCACTTATTTACTGTTTAATGCATTAATTTGCATTATAACCCCAATTAGATTCTCATTGCCACATAAACTAATAATAATCACTCTTGATTTTATGCTGAATTCCTATCCTCATTGCAACTAGGCAAAACACGCCAACCTTATGCATGTTAATATTCATATTTAAATATATAGAAAATAAAATCTTTTGTAAAGTATGTTACAATGACGAATACATTATAAGGATGGGAAAATGTCCCTTTCTAATAAAGCGGAATTCCCCATTTAGTAAGGAAATGAAGGTGAGGACGGTGAACATGATCCCATCGCAACCTTTATTTTTTGTCGCATTAAAAATAAGTAAATAGAGAAATGAGAGTTTCAATTCTCGCGCTTCCTACACCCCATCTTGACTCGCATTCCAAAAATCCTAGCAGGAGGGGAGACGGGCAGGCCGTCCATAGCCATTTCAAACGCTATAGATTTTTTTCCTCTCTTTGTATTCTCAGTTGGCTTTTAAATTGCAAGATGTAAAAGCCATCAAGCTTAACAAACAGCTTAACATGTCAAAAGTTGGGGGAAAAATAAATGGTCATAGTGGTAATGTAGTAGAAGGACAAGGATGACCAAAAATTGCAAACTATTGAAGCTTTACAATTGATCAATTTAAAAACATGTTCTAATATTTCTCTGAATAATTTCATCAACCATTTTTTTTTTCATCTTCTAAATATTTTTCTTCATATCTTATTCTCAGTATATTTTTCGATTATTTAGGCTCTTTCGAATGCATATGCCCAAGCTAGTGACGTACCATTACTTGCAAGTTGCAACATTGTTCCCCTAATAGTAGTTTGGGAGAATAAACATTCAGAAAAAAAAATAATTAATCCGTACATGATATCAGGAGTTAAATATGAAATTGAATTTGATTCGTTTATGTTAGTAACTGGACTATTAAGGGATAAATTTTACATCGAGTAAAGATGAAAATAGAAATCAATATTTAAGAGTTTACGTTACTCTTAATATGATTAATTTTTTAAGATGAAATTTCAAATTTTATGATAGTATCAGAGCTTATTAAGCTCCAATGAGCAATTTGATCCGATTAAGACTAAAAAAAATAAGCACGGGGATTTGATTGTTGATTTGCTCAAAACGAGCCACCATCTTGAAGGGCGTGTTAAGAGATAAATCCTACATCGAATAAAGATGAAAATATAGACTAATACATAAGAGTTCAGGCTACTTTTCTTAATAATCTCGATCTTTTAAAATGGACCCCAAGTCTTAATATAATTAATTTTCCAAACCTAGCCTAGGATCGGAAAATATAATAAAGATGGAAGAATAACAACACGAGTTTACGTAGAAACTTGAAAATCGGAGAAAAATCACAAGCTGTCAGACTTTTTTGCCATCATATAATATTTCCCTTGCACATGGAACCCCAATTATGACCCCCAAGAACTCGCTCCTCCTTTTCTTTTTCACTTTCTTTAAAACTGTTCTACCTAGTAAACATAGTTTGAAAGGTAATAAATAGAAAAAAGAAGGATAATAGGGGTGAGTATGATCCGAAATTATTGGCCCTGTTGCCTGCCTTTTACGCATCCATCTTCTGTTTATACCATTTCTTCCTCCTTTATTAGATAAAGCACCGATTTAAGCCTCCCCTTTGTCTTACTTCTTGGAAATCACAAAGCATCATCCTAACTCTACCTTGAACTTTGATAAGAAGCATCGTCGTTCATCTACTCAGTGTTTAAGATAAGGTTTAAATGATATACATGTAATCTTATCTAACAGTTTAAACTTTTTAAATCAAACGGTTTAATATGACATTAGAGCACATAGTCTTTGATACAAGTCTCGTAGCCACCATTTATTAGAAAGTTTGCCAGTGAAAGTCTTCAATGGGAAAAAAATGAATCTCACATACACGTGAGAGCGTTTTTAAGATAATTTCTAAATAATATACATGTGATCTTATCTTACAACTTAAGTTTTTAAATCAATTGGTTCATTGATCGGTAGTTTTGTCCACTTTTAAAATTGCAATGCTTCTTATATCGGCTCATTCTTGTTCTTGTATTGAGGTTTCGGGTATCATTTTCTTGGATTTTACAGTTTTTCCTATATGTACGTATTTGTTCCCTCTTAAGTTTTATGTACTATAATTTTTGGAATTAAAACAATTCTCCATGCTCATTTCACGTTTGAAAATTAAAATCATCTTTCTAGGTTCAATTTAAAATCACTCCAAGATTGCAGGTTTGCCCTCAAAGAACTGTCACAAGTTAAAAGTGACATATTTGAATGTTTGGCTAAGGTTGGACAAAACTCTCGAATCAAATCGATTCGGATCATAATTGAACGGAACTATTTTGAAGTTAAATATCTGAATGGGTATCAGAATCAAGAACCCACGAATTTGATTATGTTCTAGATTTTAGATCAAAAATCAAAAAATCGAATAAGAACCGAATCTCTTTAATTTATAACAAAATTATATTAAATAAGCCAAAAAAAATTTCTAAATAAATTTTTCTACTAATTAATTGAGCCCGAAAGTATCATTTTCCTATTTCATTTGCCAACTAATTAATTAAGCCAAAACATCATTTTCTCGTTTTCATCCGAAACCCAACATCATAATTCAAATTTTAAAGAATCAAATTAAGTGATCATTCTGTCGAACTACGTTATTTTATAAGAGTTAAAATTGAACTTGTCATTAGTTGGATTAATGTAGTATTGTTGTAAATGTTAAAAAATTTAATTATGGTATGAAATCGAATGGAACCTAACCGAATCAAACGGAACTGAATTGTTAATTAAATTTGAACCCGACGATTCCACTTACTGGATACCAAAAAATTTTGGTTTGATTCGTTTAGTTCTCTTTGAAATCGAACTGAACTGAACCAAATCGAATCATGTCGAGCCCTAGGTTCAGCCATAAAGTGTGGATCGTTAGAGTTCTTAGTTTATTGGTGGGAAGGAGGCTTAGTGTTTTGCAGAAGAATTGAATACATAGTCAAATGTTGATTATTAATTCAATTCCATCTACAAATAGAGGGGCTGTACAAGAATCTAATTCTCCAGCCACAAGCTGGTCTGGTGGCTTCATTTAGAATCTTCCTTCCTTCAATTGCTGTGTTTTTGCCTGATTTGACCTCCTCATCTCCCCACTAATCGTCTCTACTTTTTAGATAAAGAATGATTTGCACTGTTGTGATTATATTAGCTAAAGATTCGACAAATATAAGGTACCAACAAATCGGTCAACTATAAAATAAGAGAAAAAAGCGAATATTTTTCGAACAACCTTTTTTTACAAATGATGCTCGTTATCAACATTGCTTATCTATAAGCAATGATGTAATTTACATACAAATTTAAGATATTGAAAGTATAAAAAAAAGTAGTTAACTAAATATGGCTTGTGTATATTGTCATGTATCAGTTCTCAATATTAATTATAACTTTTAAAAAAGATAGAATGTTAAAGAAACCTCGAAAAGATCAAAATGGTGTCTATAAATCAATTTGAACGTTGCCATAAAGGTTATTAGAAATTTAAAATATTTCACTCCGGATTTTGTTTGAATTATTGTCTCCATTCTCCAATACATGCTTTTATTCATCAGTTCGTCACATAGACAATACTCGATAACAATAATTATGTAAAAAAAGGGTTAAAATATTGTCTAATAATAAGATTATCCAATGCCGTCTAATAATGCATAACAAGCATGCACATTACATCTATTCTCTTCCTTTCAAGAACCCATTAATTCGAGAGAGAAGTCAGCCTCGGATCGCCCTCGACCTTCACATAATAGAACAAGCATTGGGATTATCCTCGCTAAATAAAAACATGATTCGTTCTTCAGTTGCATTAGTAGAAGGAAGTGTCTGTGTAAGATTTTTCACAAATCCAGGAGGTGCCTTTTTATCATAAGCTTGAGATGTATAAGAATAATGAACAACATTGTGAGGGATATATGGCCAAAATTCAGCTCTTTTCCCTGTGTTCTTCACTTTCCTTAACACTTTGTTCGGGTCGACATAGCCATTAACTGTTAGACGGCTTTGCTTCCGGTTAATTTCCACAGTTTTCACACCTGAATCATCGATCACAGCGAGAAACTGATGAAATAGATATATTTATGTATGTATTTTTATGTAATAAAATCATATGAATTGTACAGCTTTAGTATATATAGAAGGCCTTTACGTACGTACAGACAAAACATAATACTTTCATCCTTTTTTATTTAATTATTCAAAAAGTGTTAGCAAGATTAGATATCCCTTTTGAGAAAGAGGACTCCTATGCTAGCTTTATGCAACTTTATTTTTAAAATATTCTTCTCGTCTCTTCCTTGGTCTGTGTATGTATACGAGCACGGAATTCAATATTTGGCAAATTGTAGGTTTCATATATAAGCAATTGTGTGTATATATATGTATTTGTTGATCTCGTAAGCAACGTTGGCGTGATACATCGACAAAGATAAACTCTCCTCTCATTTAAACCTTGTTTGAAAATCATTCTTTTGAGCTTTTCTGAAGAAAATGAGTTTTTGAATAGTAATTTTTTTTGAGAAAAGTATAAGAAAAAAAGAATTTTGAAAGAATGATTGTCAAACAGATATGAGGTCTTCCTAATAGACAATTCTATTGATCATCAATTCCTATGGTCGAGAGTTTATAATAGGAAGAATGATCGTGCCATAGGCCTAATTAACTAATCACTATAATATCGGGTTACAATGTGAAGTTTGTCTTCACCTATTACGCTATATGCATCTCAATTGTAGTCCCAAAATGTGGTGCATGCTAATACTCTCCCCCCAACATGAGGCTTGGCAAGATCGGTTCTGAGATTTTGGATTCCCTATATGATGTTTTAAAATAGGACTCCTTTTTTCTCATAAATGTTGTGCCCTTTAGTTAACATAATAATAAAAAAAAATTAAATTGTTAAACAATGTTGAGGCTTTGTGCGGTCGCACTACCTGTGCACCTTCAGATCCACCTCTGAGCTGAAATCACCAAGAACTCTCGACGGGACTAGAGAAACAAACCCAAACCCATTCTTAATATTTACAACCATGCAATATGATATCATGATAAAGTTTATAAAAAAACTCATCATCATAGTAATATTAACTTATAATGTGAGGTTTACCTTCCATGTATTTAACAGCATTCTTCACTCTTCTCTCACATCCATCGCAGTCCATTTTCACTTTAATTTCGACTGTCTGGGAAAGAAAAGAAGAATTAAACTCCCATATAAGCGGAAGATAAATAAATTTAAAAAAAAAAAATTGACACACCTGCATTGATCTCCTCCTTTTGCTTCTGATGCTTTCAACAGTGCACAAGTTTGCAAGATAATGAAGAGCACCCATTTTTTTT